CTGTTGTTGGAGGTTGAAAATGGCTTTTTGTTGTGGAGTAGTATTCTTTATCACTTAGAATCCAATGGGACTTCTTACCTGGCCAGAAATAAAAAACAAAGATCTTTGACTTCCTTTAAAAAGTCTTCAAAAGAAATAGGGTAAGGTAAATCAAAAGTTTTAAAAATGTAAACTCAAGAGATATGATTAAGGTTTAAAAGAGAAAAATAAAAAGGTTCATTATAAAACTAATGTATTCTCATTTGCTGTACTGAAAATTAGCTCCTGCTTATTTTGCTTTCAAAATGTGTTAAATTCCCAGTGCAACCACTCTAGTTCAAGTCCTCAGTATCCATGTCTTTATTACTGCCTCTCTGCTTATTCTTAAAATATCCTCTCTTCATGATTTTCTGCTTTTAAAAATAGTTCATAAATCTTGCTTGCTCTATTTATATCCACTGCAGCATCCCTAGTGTCTTGTGTATTCCTCCTGTAAACAGAATTATATCTCCTTATACTTCATATGTTGAAGCTGTAAACTCCAAAGTGACTGCACTTGGAGGTAGGGCTTTTTGAAGTTACTTAAGGTTAAATGAGGGAAGGGTCCTAAACTAGTAGAATCAGTGGCCTTGTAAAATGAAGAGGGAGCAATACTCTGTCTCTTCACTCCCTCTATGTGCACATTTGAACATAGAAGAGAGCTCTCATCTGACCATGCTAACAGCCTGGTCTCAGAATTCCAGCCTTCAAAACTGTAAGAAGTAAATTTCTGTTGTTTAAACTACCTGAACTATGGTATCCTTTTAAGGCAGTCTCAGTAGTTTAAGATGCAGTGATCTCCATGGCCTGGAATAATGCCTAAACTACTTAATAAATATTTGACTACTGTGGAAATTAGCACTGCTGTGCTGCATTCAAGAACATGGTAGGATCTCTCAGGCTGAGCAGTAATGAACTCTCTGGTAGGTTTTGTTAACCATAGTAGCACAAAATGAATTGTACACAAAACACAAATGAACATGGCAGTGTTTCAATAAATTGTATTTACAAAAACAGGCAGTAGGTTGGATTTATTTTATAGGTAACATCTGGCTCATTCCTAGCCAATAGCAACTGACCACCTTAATTATCCAATGCCCTGTATTTACTGGGAATGCCCTCATCTTGTCACAGTAGCAGGTGCCTCATTCCATTTGCCTCAAATTTTTTCTCAGTTTATTTCTTTGATTACAATTTCTATTCATCCTTCAGGTCCAGGAATTAAAGAAAAGTAAATGAAACACAATTCATGCTTACAAGAATCTTATAAATGTACTAAAAGGATATCTATATATACATAATATAAATAGTCCTGAAGAGGTGTTAAAAGAATCATAAGGACATAAAGGAAGAGTGGCACATTTAACAAGGGTACAGTAGTAAAAGTAGAATGATAGGTCTCACAGAGGAATTAAAATTTTAAAGATGTGACACTACAAAGAATGAGATGCAGAAAGAAGAAGAAAGAAGAAGACCAAGGGAAGGGGAAGGCACACAAAATGAAAAGAAAAGCTGAAATATAAAACAGATATGAAATCATCCTATTTGTGTAAAATATGTATATATGTAGGATACAAGGGATAAATTGATCAATATTTTAACTTTTAGAGATACTCATGATATATTGGTAAGGGAGAAAAGCAGAAGTAGCATATTTATGGAGATACATGCTGTTTATATTGTGTAAGCCAACAAATGGATGGAAGGATTCACCAGTGGTGCCTCAAGGATGAATGCCTCTAAAACATAGAGAATGGAGTGGTAGCATGTAAATAGTGTGATTTTAGCTGCAGGTAAGAGAAACTTAAGGTTGGTGGGTCAGTGTTTATTTTTCTCATCCAATTCTGGAGATAGTTTCTGCATTCACGGTACAGATTCTGACTTTATATCCATGTTCCTACTGTTCTCATATTGCCTAATGTTGCAAGGTAGCTGACACAGATTCCAATATCAGGACCAATCATATTCAAGGATGAGAAAGGAATAATGTCAGCTATTTCTGCCATTTTCATCATAAAATCAAAACCTTTTCAAGAAACTTTCAGCATTGGTTTTCTTTCATCTCATTCACCAAAACTGGACCAACTCAAGCTGTAAGGAAGCCTGGTTAAGCATCTAATAGGAATCTGTGAATTCTGAAATGGATAATTTTTCTGTAAAGAAAATGATTAAGAAATGTATTGGTTGGTCAACCAATAGTATATTCAATAATTTGCCTCGGTGTTGTAAGTTATTGTCTTCTATTGTGAAAAAATGGCTTTTAGAAAATAAATATCTAGTTCAGTCATGACATCAGCCAACTAATTGATCATTCATCCTAAATATTATTTCTGAGCATCAAAGTGTCATGTGCAAAAAGGAAAGAAGATGGTGGTTGTTATGGCTTGGGTTTAGGTGTCCCCCCAAAGCCTCATATGGTAATAGGTGGGGCTTTTTCAGAGGTGGTTGGATCTAGAATGTGTGACACTGAGATTGATTCATGGTGCAATGCTAGGTACAAAGGCACTAAGATGAAGAGTATGAATGCTATCCACCCTGTGTAGTCCAGATAAGATAAAAGGGGCAGAAAGATGCTGTTAAGGTCCCTTGTTACTTTTTCTGTCTTCCACCACCATGAATTGTTGCCCTTCTGCATGTGCCACCCTGCCTTGCAGCCAGGTGATTATGGACTGAACCTCTACAAACTGGGAGCTAAATCAACCTCTTCTCCTTTAACATTGGATGTCAGGTTACCTGACTTAAGTATTCTTTACTAGTATATGAATGGACATTTTTATGGACTGGGAAAGAACGTAAAAATTTCCCAAGAGACAGACTGCAGTATATTCTGGAATCCAATTAGAAAGATTTGGCAGGCAGCAATATAGAGTAGATATTGTATAGATCGTGAAAGAGTTGATTCTGCATCCAAATAAGCAGTTATGAGAACTGAACTAAGGCAGTAGCAATGACAAGAGAGAAAAATGAATAAAATATAAAGGCTGCTAAGCAAGGGAAATTCATATGAACTGATGACTAGTGAGAGGTAGATATGATAATGGAGTAATCTAAAATGAGTTTCTTTCTTGAATGAAAGAATAGTTGGATAGAGTAACAGACACTAAGATTTTGAAAGAAGTACCACATTAAAAGGAACGTTAATTTGCCTTGAACACACTATGCTTTGGAACGGATATTGGCAATTCTTCAAAGAGAGGCTGTCTTATCAATTAATGATTTAGGGGTTCAGGAGAGTGACTTAAACTAAACTAGAAATTTTTGAGTCATTAGCATAAGACGTAAGGATTGAAACAATAATAATTATAGATATTACTATTACACATTATTCAAAGAGAATATATGCTGGTAGAAAAGAACAAGTCCAATGTTGTCCCCTACAGAATACCAATATTTAGAGGAAGAAAACACAGTAACAGCATCAGAAATTAAAAATAAACTCAATTTAAGTAGCTTCCTTGAATGAAACAAATTGTAAAATTTACCAATATTAAGTGCTGCAGAATTATCTAGTACAATAACAACTAAAAATAGTGAATTGTGTCTGAAATTTGGTTCAGTGGTTTGGCTACAACACCTTTATTTTTTTATTTCAATGTAATACAAGTAGATAGTAATAAAGGATTTTTTTAAAAAAAAAACAGTCTTCTGGCGATCTGTTAGATGTTTTAATTGGAGATAATAGTATACCTAGCAAACTTTTTTCACAAAATAAATCTTTGTGATTTTCATTAAGGAAAACAGTATTTTGTAATAACCCGAATTTAATCAGACTTCTTTGTATCATACCAGATAACTGTGTAGTTGATCTGTCTGCTGGTGCTTCTCCTTCCATACACATCTTTTTTCCCTCTTTTTTAACTTTAAAAGAATGTGAAAAAGTAGCATCATTGTGTATGTAAACACTCAACTGCTTTTAAGTTTAAGCTTCCAGTTTCTCATGAAGTTCAATCAGTTTTGTAGTTGAAACATTTTGTGTGCAAAGTCTACACCTAAACACTGGAGGAAATAATCATTAACTGTTCAGTACCAAATGTGGCAAATCTCAAGTGGCAGTGGACTTCCAGTTCATCAGCTTGTTCCCTCTCCTGTACCTTCACAGCTTCAATCAAGGTCAGCAGGAAGCTTAGTTGGCACCTTCAGGTGACCTCTTCATCATCTTGTCTCACTTGGAACCATTTTCAGTTTATTTACTATGCAATAAGCAGTCATTCTTTTGTACTCGGCTAGCTTTGGTTTAATGTGCCACGGCTCCGTCTTTCTGTTACATACACAGTTGACAGTTGTTTTGATTTATTTACAATATATGCTGTGCCATTGTGATTTTTATTGTGTTTGGTTGGTTGAATAAATTTGCAACACTCAAACACTTGAGGTGATAGTTAAAAACAATACCAGTATTTGATCCAGTTTCATTTCAACCGTGTTATACCTGGACATTTTAGATATTTATCAAAGGTCATTTATGGAGAAGAAAGTAAATGTATGCAATAATAATTTTTAAGTAATGTTGCCTTATAACAAACTTTTGAAAACTTAGTTGACAAATTTTTGGATCAACTGAAAAAAAAAGCATGACTTTTGAGATCTCTGAATGCCTTGGTTCTCACTATTCTTTTTTTATTTCTTTCTTATTAATGTAGTTTTTAAGACTTTTTCTGACAGTTTTATGTAATTTTTAGCGTGGGTAGATAGGAGTGTCGCTTGTATGTTATCATACAGCTGACATGTATTTTTGTCTATTATTACAGTAGTAGTTCCATGCTATGTATGTACCATAACCTATTGCCTATGAGAAACATGTAAGATAATGTTTACAGCCATTGTTACAAGTTTATAATGTATTTTCTTGTTTTATATGTATGTCATATAACATTCAAACAGAATTTTTTTCTTGATTGAGAAAAGGATACAAAATGCAAAATCCATAATTTTGATAACTGAAAATTGCCAGTTGCTTTATGGCACTTTATTATACTGGGTGTCTTATCTTTTTTGGGCTTTTAGTTAGCTAATGAATGAATACACTGGATACTTTTGGGTTTTAGTTGGTCTTTTACATACCTTGTATTTTAATTCTTTGGTTCTTGGCTGTTTCTATTAACCCATAGCATTGTTTTAATAGATGTTATAATACCAACCTAAAAAAAAACAGTCTTCTATGAAAATTAAAGCAAAATTTCACAACAAATTAATTAAAAATAACATTAGTTAATGCACTGTACCATAATCTTAAAGAATGTAGAGAACCTTTATTTTAATAATGTGTCATGGAAAAATAGAAATGAGCAGGAGCCTGATATTGAAGGGAAGGAGAGAATTGATTGTAGCTGAATAAAAATGTATTATTCTATGTCTTAATTTTCTACAGTGAATATTCACTGATACTCTAAACACATTTAAAACTACTTGCAGTTACTATTACTCCTACAATACTCTCTTGATGAGTTAATAAAGAGTTAATCAAGTCTTTCTATTACCAGTATCTCATCTAAAATTGTCTTCTAGGGACAAATTTATGTCTTCTAAAGTTTATTCATTTAGTTCATTCATTTGGTTCCTAAGTGTGTCAAGATATGTAAGATTATATTAGCAAATAAAATAGTCCTTATCCTTACTCATGGCACTTACATTTCTGACAGGTCATATAATAAACACAGTTAATAAGTAAAATTATACTTATATTAAAAGGTAATAAAGTCCATGGAGAAAGAGATTAAAATATTGTTGAGAGGTAGAGGAAGCTGATTGTGATATGAAATAGGGGTGGTTAAGATAGAGCATAGGTACTGAGATGAGAATTGATTACAGACTTGAAAATGCTAAGAAACAGCTGTGAACAACAGTTGAGATAGCACAGTGAATGTAAAGATCATAAGACAGCAGTTTGACCTATGATCAGAGCAGGAAAAATAGGGAAGTCGGTGTGATTAGAATGTGATTAGAGGTAGAGAGTAGTATGAAATCAGATCAGAAAGAGTGGCTGAGAAGAATTTTACAGGACCTATAGTCTATTAAAGCTTTGCACAGCAAAGGAAACAATCAACAGAGTAGAGTGGAAACAACCTACAGAATGGGAATAAAATTTAGCAGCTCTTCCTTGGACAGAGATTATCTGGAATATTTAAAGAATTCAAAAAAATTAGACCCCAAAATAAAAAAGTAATCATAAAAGGGAAATGAAAATGAATGGACATTTCTCTGAAGAGGTACAAATGACCAATAAATACATGAGAAAATGTCCAACATGTCTGGCCATTAGAGAAATGCAAATTAAAACAACACAGATTCTAGTGAAAAGGAATGATTGCAATCAAGAAATCAACCAATAACACATGCTGGCAATGCTGCAACAACAACAACAAAAAAAGACATTATTCATGGGAATGTAAGTGCAACCAATTTGGAAATCAGTATAGGGATTCCTCAAAAAACTGTAAGTAGAAATTCCATTTAAACCAGCTATTCCCCTTCTTGATATTTTTCTGAGAAAATTAAAGTCATCATATTACATTGATACATGTATGTCCATGTTTATTGTAGTTCTATTCATTTTACTTAAATTTTGGAAGTAATTTATGTGTCCATCAGTAGATGAATGGGTAAAGAAAATGCAGCATTTATACACAATGGAGTACTACTTTGCTATAAGGAAGGATAAATTTGAGCTATTTGTAGGAAATGCTTGTACCTTTAAACCACAATGTTAAGTGAAATAATTCAGACACAGATTAAATATCATGGTTTCTCTTATATGAGAAACACAAAATATAAATAAAGAACAAAATAAAGATATTAAGGAAGAGGAAGAGAGATCTTTTGTGAAAGGTAAGGGGACCAAAAAAATGAAGAAAAGGTTAAAGAGGGGGAGGAGAAAGAGACATAAAAATAATTATGTTGTGTTTTATATATATATATATATATATATATATATATATACCAACAGCTCTACAATAAATGTAAATCATTATGTATTACAAACATATTAATAAAAAAATGTTTAACTGCAGATGCATAGTATTTTACTCCTAGTGGTTTTGCAAGCCTTTTATATTTGAGCAGTCTGTGACATGATGTGATGTTTTAAAATGATTCTTCTAGTTTGTAGACTGAGAATAGAGTATAGAGAATATGATGAGAAGAGTGTGAACACTAGTTTGAAGTATGGAGAACTGTTAAGATACTATTTCAAGAATTTCAACAATAGATGATTATGTATTTGGGCCAGAATGATGAATTTAAATGTATAGAAAATACAGAAAAAACATGATAGAGAAAGAAATCTGTGACTGAAAGGCATAGTATTAAATATTACAGATTTATTATAGAGAAATGATTGAAAGTTTAATCTTTGATGTCAGAAATTTGGCTCTAAAAAGTTACTGTGATTTTAATCTTAATCACTTTAGCTTCAATTTCCTAATCTGTACAATAGGAATTGTTAATCTGCTTGTGTAGCTGTAACAAAATAGCAAGCACTGGGAGGATTTAAACAACAGATATTTATTTCTTACTGTTCAGGAAATTAGGAATGACAAGGTCAAAGTTCCAGCAAATTTGGTTTTTGAAGGAGACCTGCCTATAGACAACTGCCTTCTTACTGTGTGCTCAAATGACCTTTCCTTGATATATGTCTTCAGGGGGGTGGTGTCTCTCTTCCTTTTATAATCCCCTCATGATTGTCCCATCCTCATAACCTAATACTCATAACATGATATAAACCTAATTATTGATCAAAAGCCCCACTTCCAAATATTATAGCACTAGAGCTAAGCCTTCAAATTATAAATTTTGAGAAGACATTTAGCCTATAACAGGAATAAGAATAGTTGTCATGACAGTTAAATTTGATGTTATGCATAAAAACAACACTAAGCCTAACACAATATAATTACTAATTGAATGCTATTCTTACAGAATATCTATTTTTGGCTGAGAAACAAACTTGCCATATTTCCTGCACAACTTTAGGACACCATGGATTGACACAGTCAATCTAGGTAATAATACTATTGGAAAGAGGTGGGAAGATTTCCAAAGGAGAGACATGTATCTGATGGTATGATTTGAATATGCTCTCTCCTCCAAATTCATGTTGAAACTTAGTCCCCTTTTAGTGATATTTTAAAAGGTTCTTATCTTTCAGAAGCAAATAACTCATGCATGAAATAATGCCTTTATAGAAAAAGCTTCAGAGTTTACCCCCATGCCTTTTTGCCTTCTTCCACATGAAGATGCAGCAGTAAAGCACCATTTTTGAAACAAAGAGCCCTCCTTCACTAGAAACCAGATCTGGCACCTTCATCTCATATTTCCCAGCCTCTAGATCTGTAAGAAATAAACTTGTGTTCTTTATAATTTTCCCTGTCTGCAATATTTTGTATAATAGCATAACCTAAGACATCTGGTTAAATTACATTTCAATGTGAGAAATGGTAACATCATGGAAGAAAATGGATCACATTGTTAGTGAGTAATTATTAAGAAATCTTCTAATCATGAAAGTTTTTAGTAGTGATATGTATCAAAAATATGGTTGTTACTATGGTGTCATTTAGATTAGCAAGTAAGCATTTATGTTAGATTAGCAAATATATGTATAAATGATATTTATACATATTTATTCCATGTCCTGGAAAACAGAATTATAGAAAAGCTAGCAGGACCTAGCCTGAAGCTATAGAGCCACTGTTCTATAACATGAACTATACAAAAACATGAATTACCAAACAAAGAATGTAGTTGCCAGGGGACTTGAAGATTAAACATCTATGATTTGTGAACTAGCAGGATATACAAACCCAAGATCTTAATCCCAATACACTCCATAAAAGCAGTGTAATTGTCAAATTAAAGAAAGATAAGGGAAACAGTTATAAAATGATAGAAAGGTAAGAAACCAGAAAAAGTATGAGAATAGAAAAAAATAGGATTGAATCAATCTCGATTACTGAGTTGACACTATTCACTTTTTAAAGGCAGATTAAACTTTCAAATAAGCAGAGGACAGAGAATGATCATCTTTAACTTATGTGTTTGGTTTATTCATTCATTAACCACCAATTCCAAACATCCTCAAAGACACTCTGTCCTGCAGGCTTAAAGTGAACAGAGGCAGGTATGATCTCTTTGTAATGTATGCCATAATAAAGGGACTCATGTGTGTATGAGAAGCTGAAGGTGAATTTCACAAGGTGGTTTCTGTGGTTTCTCATTTATCCAAGAACACAGATGTCCTCTGTTTAGTGTGCTTACCAGTATCTGCAGTTAGTTTAATGTATGAAATAACATAATGAAAAAAATAATGCCTTGAAAGATATAGATCCTAATTTAGAATCACCAAAGTCATATGATTTAAGCTGCCAGTCAAAATTTGAATCTCACAATGTTAGAATACTTCAAGAGCATGACTGGACATACAGAGTAACTTTCTTAAACTCTTCGCTTTCTAGTGCAACATGATTCTAGGTGCCTTTCAGTTGTTTTCAGATTACAGGCTGAATATATGTTTTCCCGGTGTTTTTGTTGTTGTTTGCTTGATTGTTATGTGCTTTGGCTTTAAATTATACTTTAAATTAATATCGTTAATATCACAGTTAATTACTAGATAAAGAAGCTGTTTACCAAAGAAATAAAAATAAAGGATATAGGCTAAAAAAGGCCAAACGATCTCACTTACTTATACTGGATATACATCCTCTCAGAGAAGCAAATTTGTAGTCAGGGTGGACAGTCTTCTGAATGAAATGATATAGTACTAATTCTGAAACATAATAAAATGAAGAAGATAAAGTTGTAGTTGTATAGAGATGATATAATTGTAGGTTTCAGAAACCAATAATAACATCTCAGAAGTTTCAAGAAATAGCCAGCATTTTGTTTTGTTTTGAAAAGTATTTTTATTTTTATATATTTACTTTTGTATCAGTATTTTATTGCCATTCATATTACTTTAAAATAGGGGAAGGGAATAAGGGAAAAGAAAAAAATATGAGGAAATGAAAAAATGGAAATAAAGTGTATATGGTGGGGGGTGAAGAGAGGGCAGGGACGAGGGGAAAAAATGAAAACCAAGACCTGTCATGTAAAGGTACAGGATCCCAATAATGAATGTAACTGTACTGTATACCTAAAATGTACAATAAACTCAATAAAAAGAAAAAAAATGTTCAGATTACTAGAGAAAAAGATAGTTGAAAAGAACTTGATTGAAAGTCCTTTTACATCATGTCAATATATTGATTGAAACATCTTTTATATACTGTTTAAACACTGCTCTTGTTTTTTTGTTTTTTTTTGTTGTTGTTGTTGTTTTGTGCTTTTTTTGGGTATAGGGGGTGGGTGTAACTGGGAATTGAACCCAGGGCCTTTCTCATACTATGCAAGAGTTCTACTACTGATTTACATTGCCAGCCATTTTTCATTTTCTGTAAGACTGGACCTCACTACATTGCCCAGCATTGACTCAAATTTCTTGTGATTTTCTTGCTAAAATTACAGGCACACACCAACTAGCAAGCTGTTTGATTTAATCATTTTATTTACACACTACACTTCAGTAACCTTAAGCATTTCAGGAACCATTAAGCAAATCAAAAAGTAGGTGAGTTCTTGTAGTAATTTCTAAAAATCATATAAAAATTTGCCTTTGTATGTCATATTTAAATTATAATTCACTGGATCATAAAATTTACCAAAAACTTTTAAATACCAGCCAAACTATTGAATACATTAAATGATTTCTATATTTTAGTACATGGTTTATTGTTGGTATAGACTTTTCCATGGAGATAAAGCCTATACTAAACTGGTCTCATGCCTTCATTTTCTTTTTTTTTTTTTTTTTTTTTTTTTTTTTTTTTTTTTTTTTTTTTTTTTTT